TATAAATAAGGTAAAGGTCAACTCAGGTCATTTCCGAATCTGGCAATACCAGCTTAATGATTGGTTTATTACCCTCAATAACCAATCATGGACCTCAACAGCAGCATGAGGGAGAGGTTTTTATGTCCGTTAGTGCAAGTAGTCATTCCTTCCAAATAATTCCTAACTCTTTCAGCCGGTGGCATTTGGAAGTGAAAAGGGCAATGAAATGTTACCTTTCATCATATTGTCTATAGAAAGTTTGGAATGGTGAGTTCGCTTAACTGTGATAGTGAACAATCTTTCTTTCATGGGAATATACTTCCCAACTTGGCCTAGCTCCTCCCGCTGGTGTTGTCGTGGTCAACCACGACTTCTCTTTTTCCCATCTCTTATCGTTGGCTTATTGTATCATCATATACTCATTCGGTAACATTCCTCTCGTTCTTATGCCGTCACATGTGCTGTTCTTAGTTGACCATCTGTGAATACATCTGTAACATCTGTAATATCTGTCTACGTATATAAGTGCTCGGAAATATTGTAGAATGCCTTTTGGCTCAATAAACTGAACGATCGACACAGGTGTACTACTAGTGTCATGTTCACCGATTCGGCTTATACTTTTTACTGTAGTCGTAAGGATTAAGTCAGGCAGAACTATCCGATGGATGCTGGGCTTCGGGATAACAAATATTGAGCAAGCAAAACCACCCGACAGTTTGTTGGCCATTACGCTCGTAGTCAGCAGAAACTGCCTTTTTTTTGGAGAACGTCCGTTGCACGCGTCCGTCAGAAATAGGTCACCCCGCCCACTTCGCGCGCGGTACATCCCACTGAGGTCTCAAGATGACATTACAGTACCACCAAATGTCAGTGCAGCAAACGATTTGCATTCGTCCGTGTTATCTTCACTTTGGCTGACTGCTGTGAACCGAGCGCAATTCGCATGCCCCACTGGCAACTGCGACGTTTGTCAAAGATCGCGGCCTGACTGCCGCGTGCGACGGCTGCGACGTGACCTAGTTTCGATGGAGGCGCGCAACGAAGCGCACCCCCGATTAGGGTTTTCTTTTTGGAATCATTCTAAAGCGAGAGAAAATTCCACACAGCTCAACGAATACGAACATAAATGAAAGCTCTGTCTCATCGTCAGAGCGAGGTGAAGCTGAGAACGCCAAGAAAAGGTTCCTACGGATCGGAACAAAGGATTTAATGTCAATGTTTAATGTTAATTCTTTGTCATTATTGAAGACTTCTAGGATCGCGAGCAGTTCAGTGGCGTGCAAGCAACAGGAAGGCAAATTGCTGTATTCTTACTGCTTGTCGAGGATTGGTATAACATTAATCGAAACTCGAGATCAGCTTGGACGGCACAGGTAACTTTGCCTTTTTTGGTAGAATCGATTCTACACCTCATAAGGAGGTGACGAAAAGACCCTCTACCTTTTTAGCTGATGTATGAGCGTGGCTTGCCTTCCGGGGTGGTTCGCGACCTCCTTTAAGAGAGCCTACATCTATTTCATTATTTATTTATTTATTTATTCATTCATGGACCCAGCATGACTGCGTGGTAAAACACAATCAACAACGAAACCAGATAATACAATTGTCTTGCTAAAGAACGCATCAACTGAGAATGTGCTTTACTATACTACTAAAACAATCATGGAAACAATTGATAGATATCAGTTAAAACAATTATAGTCATAGTCAAGGCAATCAATCGTACCTCGACGGATTTCAAGGAACTTCTGCTTTGACTAAATTTATGGCATTACGGCGGGACACCCCGATAGTCAAGCGCATGCTATTCTCATCATAGATTTTATTCAACAAAGGTAGCCCCCTGATAGCAAAAGATTTAGCTCTGACTTGTGTTCTTACCATAGGAGACCTTATTTTGACCGTGCTCCCTCTAGTCCTTGATTTTAGCAGAGTGAAAAAAATCAGTAGAGTCATCCGCAACCCTCCCTGTCAGAAATTTGAAAGCCATAACGAGATCGTTAACATGCCTTCTATGCGTCAAAGAAGGTAACGCGTAACGTTGGCGCCTTTCGACCCCACTAGGCAATGACTTGAAACTTAGGGCGGAACAACGGGAGACGGGCAGTAGAATCGGTTTTGCGTAGTCGATTCGCCGCACGCGGCTGTCGCGGACCATTCGCTTTGCCGTCAGTACAGCTTTAACGTTCTTCATACAGCTAATCGATATGCGATCATTATTTTATGCATAATTATACTATTAGTACTTTTGCTCTTGTATTTCTTTCCTACGGCTGCATCCTGCTACATTCCTTCGCGCGCGACGCCCCTCTCACCGCGACGCGACCATTTCGTTCCTACTGCACCACACCCCTTTTGGAAAGTGTACAAAATAGTTTCTTTGTTGTTCCGGGGTAAACAACGAAGGATGAGCTTACAAGTGAATCTATTTTGTACACTTTCCAAAAGCTATACGTCTTTTCTCTTGAATTGAAAGAAGACGGAGGTACCAGATTCTACGATTGCTCTCATGAAAGCTTTGTATGCTTCTAGTAAGGTCGCGGGCTTCTTTGATTGTAAAGTCTTGAAAAGGTTGTGAATTCTATTGTTTGCTTTAGACACCAAAGCCTTATAGTGCGAGTGGAAGGCGAGCTTATTTGCAGGACAAATCCGAGATCCCTGACATCGTTCACTGGTTCTAATATTACAGAACCTATTTTGTAGCTCTGCTATCTGCTTTTGTAGCTGTCTATCTTTACAAAAGGAGAACACCTCGTTTGTATCTATTCCTTCACTTCACAACTAAGGTAATGAGTTGATGAATACAGGATCCTACCACTTCCACCTAATGACTTCACGAACAGAGTAAACAGAGCGGAGGAGACATCAGCAATTAGAAAAATGCGTCATCCAGTCCCTGGTGGTGAGTTTTCGATTACTTTTACAGCTTCCCTCAACTAAATTTGCCTTCGGAAACAGATATGTGGCTTTAGTCAACGAAAAACTTCTGAGTGCTTGGTGGGCCTGATGGTATGATGGGTTGACCCTCCCAGAATGAGCCACGCTTTCGCCCTCTTCCTCTGGGAATCCAAAAGCATTTGAATCCAAGTTTAGTTTATAATGGATCTACTGTTTGTTTGGTATGGACCCTAGTTTTTTAGCAGCCCCTTCTTCACCTGAGGTCTTTTGACACTATGAATGTTCGATGACAAAGAGAGATTGAGTTAGAACAGCAGCTACTCTCCGAAAAGCATTCATAATGGTCCAGAATACATTAGAATCTTTACTACTCAGAAACTTGGCATCTAGAAGCCTTCGAATTCTAGAAGATGGTTTCTGGACAGCATTCGTAGGAGAAAGGTGCTCAAATTCATTCATTCAGGTCCAATGTGCTGTTCACCGACGGCCTTTGCTGTGATGAATATACATTTTAGACTGCTCGAATCAGCTTACTACTTCACGTCGATTGTAAGCGAACCTCCAGACACTTTCTTTGTGATTTTTCAAAGTTTCTAGCGATGCTCGATCAGGTCCACACATCTGGTTTGGAAATCGACTACAATCGAACGAGTTTCCGGCAGAAATTGGAAGAAGCTTTAGAAAAAGCTAAAGAAGGTTTACCACCAACAGTAATTTGGCAATAACAAAATTTGTCCGCTATATATAACTGTGAATCCTTTCGTTTTACGAGCAACTTTCTTGATTTTGTACTCTTAGTTGTATGTAGGTGATTTTGAGCGATTTGTAGGGTTTTTGGTTAATTATTTGACTATCATCTTAACTTTACTATTGTATATGAAGCGCTACGGCTGCATGTATGTTGGTATCTCATGATGGTGTCTCCATCTCAGACAACCGATAAAACCTTAAATATTTTTTAAGAAGGCAGAGTCAGATGCACGGCACACCCCGCATGAGGCAAAGTCAATCGAATGCTCCCGAAACGATGAGCCAGAACAAGTGAATATAGGGGCACACCTTGAAAAAATGCGTCTCAACCAAGGGGTAGGATCTTGTACCCGAAGGACGAGCCGTAGTGTGAGCGTGAGATATGAAACCTCCTTGCCTCTCATTAGATGATTGCGGTTATTGATGCGAAACCGCTATCTCTTCTTAAAATCCACCACTTCAGATCCAAAATATGATGTCCTGACAGGAAACTGTCCAAGATGGATATTGATCCTGCTTGAGAAAGGTTTAGAACATTACCCAAGGTGAGCAGAATGGTCTTAAACAAGGCGAACCGATACAAAATTTCCTTAAATTACCCTGGTTAGGTGCCAGGAAAGGGGAATATTGCTGCTTACCAAAAGCTTCAATAAAGAACAATGTCATTTAGGTAAACTTTCCCTAACTCTGGGCTGGCAATGGGCGGGTGAGAAGTGCTTAGTAGGTGGCAGGGTTCGTACGAAACACGACAGCTCTGCTGTGAGACATGGTGTGGATTTCTTCTTTGAATCATGAGAACAACCTTACAAAATTAGGAAGCTCATCAAAAACTGGCCACTTTCCTCTGTTGGAGTAGTGGAGCAACTGAAAAAGTCACAGTTACGGTCCCTTCACGGTTCAAAAGCTCAGCTTCCACATGCTCCCAGTCTTCTGTTGTTAGCTCCCGATCTCCATTGCTCCCAAGCCGTCATGAAGTGTATTCAGCCCCACACAAAAGAGTTTTTCTACCTTTTTTGTCTTTTTAATGTAGGGATTGTAATTATAGCTGCATTTTATTATATGAATAGATTTATTGCGCTTTTCAATTATGGAATGTAATCGATAAATAAATAAATAAAAACAAAAAGGTGAGATAACAAATGAGGATCTCAGATTTGAGCCTTGTACCGAGTGCGGCAGTTGCAGTCCTCGAAGTGAATCGGTGCAAAGCAATCGGACGAAAGGGAATAAATTAACAGCAATGACAATCGTTATCCTGATCGATGGGGCCTTATGAATACCCTGTATGAGAGACAATATGCTTTGGCACCTTACTGGACACACCCTATGGCACATTATAGGCAGATATTATTTAATATTACTAATGATCAAACATATTTTGAGCGGTCAAAGTCCACAAGAAAGGCGGCTAGTCGCTTGTTCATCTCCGCTCGTGACGGTCGTCGTTCGGATGGCTGTGGCTGTTCTACAGTCGTATCAGAAACGGGTGCAGCTTCAATGGGAGACTGACCAGCGTCTCCCTGTGAAGATGGCTCTAGAGATGGCTCTTCGCTTATTTCACAGATAGCAAGTTCTTCTCGTGGCGCTGATTCAGCCGGCACAGGTGAGGAAATGGATGACGTTGGAGGAGAGTCCACACGAGGAGTGGGTGACATGGGAGGCGAGGAGAAAAGCGATGGGAACGGCGAGGTAGGAGGAGATGTCATCGTCTCGGGATCCGAACACGTAGTGGTGGCGTATGGCGACGAAAGAGCGAATCGGGAGAGTACTACTGAAAACAACAAAGTTAAGATTTTCTTCAGAATTTGTCTCTCAACAATTTCAAAGGACTGAGTATACGTACCGGTTCCAACCGTTGCTATAATAGCAAGTAAAGCTAAAACTATCCATGAGCCTCCAGATGAAAGCAAGTTGGTTAGGCGCCCTTTGAGTGTGGACGGTATGCTCGTCGCTACGCCTACTCTAGTGGAGAGAGCGGAGCTCAGAGCACCTTCCATAGCAGAATTCTGATGACGTATCCTGCGAGTGACCAACTGTTCAGGCGAATTTCCACCACAGACTGGGGGCTGGAAGTAAAGCATGTTTGTCATAAGGAAGTGAGATTTCTGTTGGAGATAGAAGGAAAAATATCTCTGAGCAAAGAAAAAAGTGACACCGGAAGTTTATGCCCCTCATAACCAAACTATAAGTTATTTTCTGGGAAGAGAATACCTACCGTAACACCCTCACAACCATCTCCATCTCTTGTGCACAGACTGAGCTTGCAAACAAACTTGAGCTGATCCGCTTCCGTGAAGGCAAATGCTTTACTTTCGGCGTAGGCAGTAAGGCTACTGTCTGAGTATCGAGGATCCGACAGCAGTGTCAGATCAGACGAACAACTGGAAAGCGGAATCACTAGAAAACACTCTGGGAATTTTGTATGACGTTGAAAACTACCGTACCCTCGATTGTCCACAATTGGGAACTTCTTGTCAACATCGTCACTGGCGAAACAGTCATGAATTTGAATGCCGTAGACGTTGTTTGCTTCTGCAATTGTCTGTTTACTCAAATAAATGAAACCACTTCTCATATATCAGTGTTCAAACTACTTTCCAAGGCAGGAAGGTCACGTAGCACTTTGCTGAATGTCATCCTGGATGGATTGGATTCGAAACAACGAGTAACGTAGCGGAGCTCAATAACATGAGGCCAAGAAACTTTCGTATCCCTAATATCTACCGAAATAAAACAACGGAAACTGATTAGGGGACTGAGTGCTCGTTTTGGAGAGTTCCAGGGACCTAATTTCTAAAAGTTTCGTGCTTACGTTCGAGTACCAACAGTTCGTAAATATCCTATTTCTCTTCAGCCATTCAATCTAGTGCTACAGCGTTTCTCTTTGTAGAAGGAAATAGGGGCAGGGAAAGGGGCGACATAGTAAAATGCTACAAAAGTTTTCGAAGGCACAGTTCACGTTGGAAAAGGTTTCTCAAATTTTTCCCTAGGTTGAAGATGTGGCCCACAAGGATAGGCTAAGGGGCGCGTCGGGTGGGAAAGAAGCCAAGATAGGGCGTAATAAAAGCAACCAAAACCAGTTTAGTCGACGTACACACCAAAGCGGACGGGTTGCCAAGAGTTGTAAAAGCTGCAAAGGCTGCACCATTCGCACCGGGACCCTCACTCCGCACGCAGGCAGCATATTGTAGCCAGCTGTACGCAATGGCGCTCGCATTCGAACAGCTCGCTCAAATACCACTCCCATGCGGCTTTTCTCATGACATTCTCGTTCGAACCGTGACCTAACTTCGTTTTTGAAACCTTATAATTCTCTGAATGCGCCGATTTTCGTATTTTCTCCTCCTTTTTTGTACTATTCTGAACTATTGCTCCCATTAATCGTCTAAAACTAAATAACCCAAAATTGGTGAACTGTATCCTTGAAGTTTGAAAGAACGTTCGGTAAAACAAATGGGAATGTTCTATTATTTTCTTTGCAACATTTGGTACCCAAGACGGAAACACATCAGCTGCCTACACTAGCGAAACCTTATACCATTTTCCCACCCGAAGTTCCTCGAACTCACTCAGGATTTTGGGAGATTCGCTAAAAATGTAACTTCCACCCGGTTCTTCTAGTGATGCTTGAACCGCTCAATCAGTAAGTCAGGCAAGCAAAAAGGTAACAGAGAAGTTGGAGCTCACCTTCTCCTCCATCACATTCCCATCGATGATAGACGGTTTGGCCGACGTATGCATTTTTCACGATTGGTCCATCGGCAGAGTCTTTTCGAATCGAATAGACGCATGTCGGTGGTACTGACAGCAATGAGATCGTCTCGGCAATCATCAGCTCTCTGAAAAATTTTACGTGTTATTTCGTGTTATCCAAAGGAAATGTAGCTTCCTTAAATGTCTCAGGAGGAAGGAGCACTGGGGTGGGCGAGTTTCCAACATTTCGCACGAGGCCACCCACCCTGATGCTCCTACACTCCTGAGGCTTATTCTAAAAACTACATCTCCTTAGCTAAACCCGCAAAAGGCCTGGGCCCATCTTCCTCTTGGTCTTCGATACAGTGCTAGTATAACACAGATAAGCATTTGGTACCGTGGTAATTTAGTGTTATACTAACATTGTCCCCCGGTCCCCTCCCTACCTTTCCCTTCCCACCCCACTCCTACATTTTCATAAGTAGTTATAATACTTATAGGGGTGTGGTGCAGTAGGAACGAAATTGTCGCGTCGCGGTGAGAGGGACGTCGCGCGCGAAGGAATGTAGCAAGATGCAGCAGTAGGTAAGAAATACAAGAACAAAAGTACTAATACTAGAATTATGCATAAAATAATGATCGCATATCGATTGGACTGCATGAAGAACGTTAGAGCTGTAATAACGGTGAGTGAGTGGACGCGAGAGCCGCGTGTGGCGAATCGATTACCCAAAATCGTTCCTAACGTCCGTCTCCCTACTTATGGCAGTTGTACGAAAATATTTGGGGACACCTCACAGAATCCTTTTAAGTAGAACTCTCGAGGAAAAAATTTTGACCTCCTACGGTAGATCACGACGGTAGACGATCCCTTCGTTTTATTGATCGGATTGCCTCTCCCCTCTCCCATCAATCAAAGAGTCCGCTGACAACCTTGCTTCTGATTCCCTTCATTTTCGTATATCCGTTATCGATTATTGAATTGATTCTGGTTTTTTTTCTCCAAACTACTGTAATTTTTTCCTTTTTCCATGCCCATTATCTCAATTTCCTCACTTTATCACCTAGTATTTCCCTAGAGAGCAATTTCCAACAAATTGTTCTCTTTTCATCTCAACCTCCTTCAGGCTATGCTGAACTCGTCCACATATCAATTGATATCACCATTTGAAATCCTTCCACCTACTTTTTAGATCATCCCGAAGGTAAAGGCTGCCTTCATAGTCCGCCGTCCGGCCCGCGAGAGCGCGAGCGAGCGAGCGATCGGGGGCGGCGCTTGCCCTTGTTCACAACTGAATCTTGGTCGATATCGCCGGACGAGTAGTCCCCCGGCCTGCTCCCATGCTCGCTCGCGGACTATGAAAGCAGCCAAACGGCAATTTGGCAAACAGATATCCTTACATGAGTGGCCTACACCCAAAACACCCCAGCTCTCGCCAGGTATTACGGTAACCATGTGAAAGCTATAGTAAATTTCCTTTTTTACGAAAAGGCGTGCCAGTGCGAATCCTCATTGACGAATCATCGAGCCAGTGGTAGGCTACAAAGCTCGACAATACACCAATGGCGAGCGTATCAGGTACGTCAGGTCCGTTCCCATATTTACACTATGCTCAACGTTCTTGCTTTTTAGAAGTCATTACTGGATCTATTACGGAAATCAATGATATTATAAATAATTTCCTAATTCCTCTAATTACTTACCCTTTCATAACGCCGAGATCCGCTGTTAGCTCTTGATCTTCTGAAGGTTTCCCGATATAGCATTGCAAAAGATACGCTCTATCCCCACCAGTCACCAGGGGAACGCTGTGTTTGAGATGCAGGATCAACGTGTAGTTGGTTCCAGGTGGTTGTACCTGGAAATCAGCCCTTTCGATGGAGTCAGAGCTGGAATCACACCAAATAGGCTTACCGAATGGACGCGTGTAACACCGCAGGACTTTGAGGCGACGAAGAACCCGACAGTGAGGTTAGTGCTGCTTTCCAATGCATGGATATTCTGAAAAACGATTCGATTGAATTTAATGCCCACTTCATTCGCATGAATGTCTTTTCCGAAAGGAACTCTATCCCTCTACTGAGCTCTACGTTGTTTAAAAAATGCCCTCTCGAAATTCACTGGCGATCACCTTTGTGCATTCTTCTTTATCCTCTTGTCCTTTGACCACAGCCACACCCTCATAGCCTGGTGGCACGTTTAGGCTGATCTGAAGTACAGTAGGTACTATTTGTTGATTTCTGACTTTGTTTTGCCTTTTGACGTCCTTCTGCTTACCTTGAACCCAAGTGGTGAACACTGCAATTGAACCAGGCGCTGAGCGTCCATTGAAATCGAGGATGGCGAAGAAACGGTTGGAACTATCGGCACCGAAGCTGTAACAGACAACTAAACGTTGAGACTTCAAAAATGGCCAGTACCTTTTTGGGGTTGAGCCACGCTGTCCCAACAAGGCGACAACAGTTTTCTAGGAATCGTTATGGAATTTGAACAGTGTATGGGGCGGTAATCCTTGGCGCTAGCAATTGAGCTGGTTAGTCGTAGGAGACGGCAAGCTTAGCTACTTAAGGCGGAATCCTATCCTTAGCACGGTTTTTGATAATATACGCAGCCTCACTACAGTTGTCTCACATCCGGCCAAGTTAAGTAGGAACTCTATGAAAATAACCCCTAGAAATAACTGCTTCTGCTCTGACACTAGTATGGCTACTTTTAGATCTGAATGGTCGAATTTCAACTTAATCGCTACTTTACTAGTCATCTCTACACTTTTTATTCTTATAGGTTTATTGCAATCTGTTGAGCTCATCGAAAAAAAAATACTACTTACTATGAGTCGCAACTGGGAACTCTTGTTCTTCTTGTCCCTCTCTGCCGTCCTCCATTTCTTCTTCCTCTTCTCCTCCCACGTGTTCCACCCGTTCTCCCTCTTCCTCCTCTTCTGTGGGTAGAGCGATAGTGATCATTCCATGGCCATCTTTCACCTCAAATGTGTCAGAAGGAGCGAACTCTGGAAAAAACCGGGCTTTTGTCAAGATCTGATTCTCGAAATCTTGTGATTTCGGGAACTTCAGTTAGAGGAACAAGGAAGGGTTGAATAATTGAAAAAACACGTGTTTATGATAGTTACGTGTTTTTCTCAATACTTCACAGATGCGTGGAAAGGAAAAGAGTTGATTTTGCGGTTGTACAGCTGACATTCTTAAGCTCAGTCGAGATAACACAGTAAAAAGCAATATTGCCGGCTTGACAAGCGTGTTACCAAATATTACCTTACAATTCTCTCTTCTTTCACTTTCTTGGTTTATAAGCTGTATAGGTCCTCTATCAATGACGAATAAGAGCTTGTTCAAAGAGCGAGAAAAATCAGACGAAGAACTAATGGAGGAGAGAAGTGTGAAGCAGAAAACTCGATTCCCGTTTTGAAAAAGGCAAAGTTAAATTGAATAGAGAGAGAATCGGGGTTCCAGGCTTCCTAAACACAAAAATTCTTTGGAGCATCAACGAGCTTTCCATGACTTTCTAGTAGAGAATGGATTTGAAAAAGCAGCGGATAGCTGATTCTTTGAGAATCGCTAATTGCAATAGTACGCGGAAATTCCGCGCAGATTATGGGGAAGATATCATTCGATTAGAACTATCAGAGCTTGTACAAAGTGGCGCAGTTGATAAAGAGTGGAGAAAATAGTGAACGATGAAACCATTGAGAATTATAGGCGACCGATTGATTTCAATTGTATCTATAAGCGGAATTCAACACTAATTTTTCTTTTGTCTTTGTTAATGAGGAGCACCTTAAAAGCTCAGAGAAAAGTGACCATAGAAGCTGGGAGAAAAGTGACCATAGAAATGAAAGTAATTATACAAAGATACATACCTGCTTGAATAGAGTTGATACGTTCAGCGAGTTTGTGAGGTAGCGTGTGCTTGATGTCGGTATGAAGTTGGAAAACGTTGTTCATGTTCCCTAAAGTAGCCATCTTCAAACGTCCAGGTTGTAGACAAGAAAGAAAGCGCTCACCAGCTAAATCCATAAGATATTGCGGATTCGCCTCGAGAGTAGCAATGACAAGGACGGTCAAGTTATGTTTTTTGGCGACCTGAAAGTTACAGACCGATTATTTTCATTCTATTTTCTGGCTTTCATAAATTGGTCACGCAAAAATCCAAATGAATTAAGGGCAGGAGGTGAAAAACGTACCTCAACTGGCTCTTGAATTCGGTCGTCCGATTGTCCATCCGTCAATATGACTAAGACGTTCTCGGCATCTGGACGATCTCCCTGAAATTTATGTTGGTTATATTCGACTATGTAAACTTACCTGAAACCTAAGTAAGGCCTAAATAATGAGCATAAAAAACTACGTCCTGAAAATTGTTCACCGTACCCGATTCTTAGTGAAGGCGAAACGAGACACCTTCTCAACTGCTTTGCCGAGCATACTGCCACCCTAAATCGAAAATAGCTTTGGTCACTACTTTTCATTATAGAATGCGTCATGACTCCTTCCCTATTGAAGACCATGGAGGCTTCGAAACCTCTTCCCATAGATGTGATTAGGGGCCCACTGTTTGTTAGAGCTTTGCCCTCACATGCACAGTTTTCCCTCCAGTGTACTCGATCGATGAAAAAACTTCTTTCGGAATATACAGTAACCAATCTTTTGAGTGTTATATGTCTGATGGATGACTTGCACTGCCTTTTTATCGGCTCTTGCATTTTTTGGAATGGTCTTCGTGAAGTACTAGACAGAAGTGGAGCACTGGCTAGTGACGTCGTCACCGCATCCTTGACCACAAGATTGAATTCCTGCTGTGTTTTTGCTCCGGTCAAGTCTTCCACTCTTTCAGCCGAGCTCTTCACCTTTTCGAAAGCTATTATAATACTGCTCGTCATCAGGTCCTCCTGTAAAGCTTAAGACACTGGTTCGGAAGTGAACCAGCCCCTCAGGAGCCGATACGACTTGAAGAATGAGCGTTGAGCTTCCTAGGTCCCTGACAGATGTCAAAGTCATTGCATATCTCTCCCAAGTACTTGGAACTTGTCAAATAAATGGTATTCAAAACCGAGTATAAGAATAAGTGATTCGACCAGATGCTAGACTTATTTTCTAGAGAGCTTCCCGAGTCGCAAGCTTCGCGCGCGGCTGATGCTCTGCTTTACCAAAATCTGATACCTCTAGGAAAATCCACTTTTCCTCTCTCTAGTTTCCGTCCTGGATATGTTCTTCTCCCATTTTCTTTCGTATAAGATAGAGTATGCAGAAGAGTAGTCTTTCGTATAAGATAGAGTATGCAGAAGAGTAGTTTGGTTTGCAGTTTTATGTCCCACGGTATGAATGAAACCACCTAACCTGCATATAGTCTGTGTCTGCGATGTCGTCGATCAGCCATTGCTTGCAATTATGCTTCCTGAGCGAAAATTCCAGATATGGTTCAGTATTGAACTGCACCAAAGAGACCTGAACAGGTAGTGTTGGCAATATTTCCCATGGAAATCTTGCTAAAACCTTACCTGAGTACCATTGGGTCCAATATTTCGGAATTGCGAAACTGTTTCGATGATGAGTTTAATTGCATGCATAAATTTCTGTTGATTAAAGGCATTAGACGAATCCAACAAGAACAGCACATCGGTCCGGTTGGTGTCGGATGGGTCGTTGACAGTCGGACAAGGTTCTTAAATTTATTTTTTCCAAAACTTCAGAACTAAAGCAAAGTTGAATATGTCCAGTAATATATTTAAGCTAAAGACCTTTTGGCATAAAGAACGTCTCTGGAACCGGCTGAACTGTTTCGGCTTCTGGAGGAAGACTCGTCTAAACATTTGGAAGTGATAAATAAACCCAATTGTAAAGTATCCTAAAAAAACTTTTTTGTTCTTTGATCAAATTAAGTTTTCTTCTAATAACGGGGTTATGGTGAGAGGAAGGAGGCCTAAAGGATTAGCCAGGCATCACGGAATTGATACAATTTAATACCTGGACCCTTTAACTAGACGACTGGAAGAGGAAGGGCGGTGGTGATCGGAACAAAGGGATAAGTGTGAATGACCCCCACTGGACTTCCATTCACGATCGTGGTGACGTTCGGAATGCGTTGCCAGCAGATGTGCGAGTCAATATTATTTCCTCCCAGAGAAAGAAAGATGAGGTAGGGTTTAGTTAGAGGCCTAATACCACTGCAAATAGCTTTGGACAGATGGAAGTGCGATGCGCTTGATGATGCGATGGAATGGGATAAGCTTGATAGCAGAAGTTTACATATGGCACAGTCTAATTTTGGATTGATCGCGCAGTTTGTGGTCTGGCCCATCCCTAGGAGAACCATGCTAGCGGTCCTTGAGCCCTCACTCCTGATCTCATTACAAACAATTTTTCGTTCGTTGCAAATTGTATGGAATTAGCTCAGGAAAAGCTCAGTTTTAGGTTAAAATCCTATCGTTCCCGAGCGAGAAAGAAAACAAAATTCGAGCCCAGTGGAACGTTTCCTTATTTTTTTGTTTTTCCGCGAAAACGCTACATATTGCCTCATTGAGATCCTAAGTTAATGTTCCCAATTCATAAGAGTTGGCAAGAGCCGCAAAAAGTTGTGAATCCAATTTTGGGGAAGGGGGACTAGGGGACTGCACCTTCGCTGGAGCCAAAGTGACCATGGCAAACGGACCCTTATGAAAGAAAAATGCATCCCTCGTTCTCTAACTCAGCCCGGAACCACATATCCCACCAATTTTCCTTCGTATAAAGCTTAACATATACTAAATACGGTAAAAGTGTGAGGGTGTAAAAAAACTTGGACACCCAATTTGTCCTAGATTGAACGAGAAGCCTGAGGAGGCATTTCATCTAATCTTGGATGTAGCAATGCAAGTTTTTCTTCCTTTTTCAACTCGTGATCAAATTTTTGATAAAATCGTGCTGAAACTAGAAAACTATCGTCTTAAGCGACTACCAGTTCATCGCCGTATCCGCCGCTCTCCACCGGTCCACGATGAGCCACTTTTGGTTTCGTCGATTCTTCAAACATTCCAGGGCCAACTTCAAATGGAGGTGCTTCAGTTGTTGTTGGTTGTCCGATTGATGTAGGGACGATTCCTGGTGGTAATAATCGCGATGTCGTTGTAGTTTCGATAGTCTTAGGTTGTTCAGTGAACGTCGTTGTAGGTTTAGGAGTCTCGGGCTGTGCAGTCGGCATCGTTGCAGCTTTTACAATCTCAGGCTCTTCAGTAGACGTCGTCGTAGAGTCGAAAATTCCAGGCTGTTCAGTAGGCATTGTGAACCCTTCCTCAAGCATGCTTGATTCGATTTCCATTTTTGCCATGTTCTGATCGCCAAA